TGCCCGCCCCTGAGGCCCCCGGGAAGCACCAGGGTGAAGTCGGGCCCGTCCTCCTATACAGGGGGATCTTCGACGAAAAAGAAGACATACACCCAAAATGCTCCCAAATGGTCGAAAGCTATGCAACAAATAGTCCCCAGACTTCTTCAAATTCATATATATATATATATGTATGTATATATATATATCTATATATATATATATATATATATATATGAATACTCCTCCTGTAGAGGGACAGGCCGGACGTACCTCCAAGGTCGTCCAGAGGGTCCAAGGAGAGCCCTGGCCGCCCGAGAGAAGGTAGACAAAAAACCCGGGCGCTGGTGGACAGCCCGGGCGCCCCCGGGAGGCCCCAGGAAACCCTCCGAGCAGGCAGCAGCCCTCCTCCCTCCTCCCCTCCTCCCTTCCCTCCCTCCTCCCTCCTTCCTCTCCTCCCCCTTCCCCTCCTCCTCCTCCTCATCCTCCTCCTCCTCCTCCTCCTTCTCCTCCTCCTCCTCCGCCTTCTCATCCTTCTCCTCCTCATCCTTCTCCGCCTCCCATGGCGAACAAGTGCTGGTGCCTTCGATGCTCGGGAGCACGAGTCCGTCGCCCGTTCTGGCGACCATCACCACCGCCGTCCTCCTCCACCCCTCCGTTCTCCCTCCTCTGGCCTTCCCCGCCCCTGGCTCCCGCCGCCTTCTCCATCCCTCTCCCGCCCTCGTTCCTCACGCGCGCCGTGGTGCATCAATCCAGGGCGATCCAATTCCTGCTGGACCCGAACGTCCGACGCAACAGCTGGAAGACAGTGCACAGCTCATGCGCAGTACCAGGCTGGCACACAGAAAGCAAGGAGGCACCGAATGCAGAAGGCGAGCCGCGCTGCGGTTCGCCGTCGCGGCACGGGGGCGCGCGCGGCGGCAGGGTGCAAGCGAAGGTGCGCGTCCAATGCAGTGGCGTCTACTTGGTGCAGAGCGAGACGGCTCTGCAGGTTGTGGGGATGCAGCTTGGTGATCAGAATCTGACATCCGCCGGCCCACGGGGCCCTCGGGCTGCGAGGACGCCGTCAGGTGCTGGGGAGTGTCTTGTTTTGTTCGGCATGTCGACGTTGGGCGGAAAGGAGGGGGCAGGGGGGGGTCTGATTGTGGACCTCTGCTTAGTGCGACTGTTAGCAAGAGTGCTGCCTCTATGGGTGGGGGAGGCTCCACCCGCTCGAAACAGGCGCCCAAAAACAGCCAAGATCTACTCCATAGGGGGGGGTGCGAGGGCCCGCGTCGATCGGCAAAACAATTAATACAACACGATAACCTGGATGAAACATGTCTTCATATCCGAGCGTGTGGGCACCATCATGTAAACGAGCAGACAGAGCTGCAGGCACGTGTGGCCACTGCTGCGGATGTGGCTCCCACGACTACTTATTTTGGTTAAAGCAGCTGTATGTGGTACTAACACTACTGAAGCATAGACGAAGGAAAGGCACTACTGGTCGCAATGGTGGGTCGAAGTAGAAGTGGTAGCACTCGTAGAATGTGTGGGCAGCAGCATGTAAACGAGCAGACAGAGCTGCAGGCACGTGCGGCCACTGCTGCTGATCTGAATATGACTCCCACGACTATTGCTTTTGTTACAGCAGCTGTATGTGGTACTACCACGACTGCATCGTACACGAAAGACGAGGCACTAAGTATCGATTGCAATTGTGGGCGAAGTAGGAGCGGTAGTGTGTCGCCGTACTAATAGAAGTTCTCGTGGCACAACAGCTACTACCTGATACTGCAATGCCTACGGTACTCTACTCTTCTATGCCTCACCCTGGCATTACCATTGGACAACGTTGTCCAAATACATTAGAAGCGCGGCGTGTCTAAGGCGTTGTCGGACGGAAGGTAGGCGCTCGCGTGTCTCAGGCTTTCTGAAAGTCCGTAACAGGTCGTGTCTATATCGTATATCGAGACCAGTCGCGCAAACAAGCCCAACCCAGTTCTAGCCATATATGTATATACACAAATATGTATGCATGTGTGTATGTGCTACACCTGTATATACATATATCTATATATAGATATTGACACGCACACTCTAATCGCGCAGTTGCCGTGTAAGACAAGCGTTGACGACGCCTCCAAAATATGGGCATTCGTGTGTTGACGTTGGCCACATGCACGTTCACCTCTCCATGCTGCCGTAATCAGGTTCAGTGGCGTGCACGTGTGTGGTTGCGTGCTGCATGTTGTGTGTGTGTGAGTGTGCGCGTGTGTGTGTGTGTGTTTGTGTGTGTTTGTGTGCGTGTGTGGGGCGTGTTTGCGTGTTTGGTTACGTCCGCGCGTGTTGATACTGTTTGTGTACACGAGTACGTGAATGAACATGCATATGAGGGAAAGCAGCAGGAAGAGGGACAGGAGAGAAGGGGAACACATACTAATACTTTTTGTATATGGGTGAGAGAAGAAGAGCACAAAGCTCGGAGTGAAAGAAAATGAGGATGAGGAGGACCGGACGGATCCCATGTCTGGATGTGCACCCCGCGAAGCGAGAGAGAAGCACGCCCATCGGGCCCCAGCAAGCGGCAGGAGAATCGTCGACTGCCTACGGCGCAGCAGATGCTGGCCTACACTGGGTAGGAGGGAGGGGAATGGACGGGAAGGGGGGAGGAGGAGAGGGGGTGAGAGGATGAGTCGTAGGCCGCCGATCCTGAGGAGGAGGCGAGCAGGAGCAGGGTGATGCGGAGGAGAAGCATGGGGGGAGTGGAGGAGGAGGAGGAGGAGTGGCACGTCTGGTGGTGCGGCAGGGAGAATTGCGTATACGCAAGGAGGGGAGAAGGATGAGGAGAGTAAGGCGGCCCAGGAAGGCGGAAGATGGGAGGAGGAGAAGGATGAGCATGATGGGGCAAGGGAGGGAGAGAGGCAGGAGCGAAGCGGGATGGGGTATGGAGATGGCTGGGGGACGACGGAGGAGCAGGGGGGACTCACAGAACAGGGGGACAGAGAAACATGAGAGAGGGCGCAGGAGTGCGAGACGGGCAGATCTAAGCAGCCGCCCGCCGCTCACTCACCTCGCGCCGCGGATGCTGACCTTCCCCGCCTCGCGGTTGCCCGTGGCGGCTCCGTGGGGGCAATTCCCCACGCAGCTCATGATGCAGGGGAAGTCGGACGGCGCGCACGCCACGGTGAAGCACTTGTCCGCACACATCTTCGAGGTGATCTGCGAGAGGGCGACCGGCAGAATCAGCAGCACGAGGAGGGCGCTGCGGAGGGCCGCCATCCCCAGATTCTCAGAGGAAAATATGCGAAGTGTTCGGGTGCCCGAAGCAGATGGCGCGTAGGAGCCAAGCTGAAATGCTGACGGGGAAGGCAACTTGGATCCAGGCCCGTTTCCTTTCCAGGGTCAGTCAGCAACAAATCGGCAAATCGGATCGAATCGAAGCGTGCATCGAAACGGGCTGTAGCGGCACGGACTCGGAATCGAACCGGACCGGCTGCAGCGCCATGCAAGCAAGCATCGAGCCGCATCGGAATGGACTGCCGGAATCGAGTCGGAGCGAGCTGTCCGGAATTGACATCGGATCGGATCGAGCGGATGGAAATGGACACTGCCTTCCTGGTGTCAACTGCGGCGGGTACGGGGCGGCGTCGACGATCGGACGCGGCGTGATCCTCTCCGTCGGTGGAGTTGCATAGGAGGAGGAGGAGGAGGAGGAGGAGGAGGAGGAGGAGGAGGAGGAGGAGGAGGAGGAGGAGGAGGAGGAGGAGGAGCGAGGAGGAGGAGGCGGAGGAGGAGGAGGAGCGAGGAGGAGGAGGAGGAGGAGGAGGAGGAGGAGGAGGAGGCGGAGGAGGAGGAGGAGGAGGAGGAGGAGGAGGAGGAGGGAGGAGGAGCGAGGAGGAGCCAGGAGGAGCGAGGAGGAGCGAGCTACCGAACCTGACAACGCCTCACCCCTCCGACGGATACCCTTCACGACGAGCTCTGGGAACGCGGACTGACGTGCCGCCCTCGTTCTGACAGATCTGTTTCCCCGAAGAGACCGTGATGGCACGCGCTCGCTGCCATGTCACCGAATTGGCTCCCGGGCCCAGACGTGGCCCCGAGGAGGGCGATCAGGGCACCGTAGCTGGAAGCTTGAAGCTCCCTTCGATCTCGAGCTCTGGCTACTGGCCCCCCTCTTGGGGGCGCAGGGAAACACATGCAATGGAACAACAGCATCGAATGGGTTATATTAGAACAACATGTCATTATATATAGAACCGAATCGAACATACTAGAATGTGGCGTTGTTGAATAATAGATCGTTTGGTAACAACAAATGGAAACTAAACTAATGCTTTTATAATCTAACAGAACCGACTATACTAGAATGGGATAGCCTGCTATAACAACAATTGCGTCGGATACAAGATCATAACATCGAAAATAATGAACAAGACCCGAAACAAAATGCGATACTATTATACACGATACTTCATTGTTGCAGAATGACATATAAAACATTTAATACAACATACGAAAATTAATACAAACGAATCGAATGGAACAGACTACAACATAATATAATCGTGCACAATTTAGTAAATTCGAATCGAACGCATATATATATACATATATATATATATATATATATATATATATATATATATATATATGGTCGCCCCCCCCCCCCCCCAGCACCCCCCAAACCACCAAAACCACAAAACGATCATTGATTGTTTGCTCCTCCTCCTCCTCCCTCGCACTCCTCTTCCTCCTTCTTTCCTCCCTTCCTTAACTCCTCCGCCTCCTCTTCCTCCTCCTCTTCCTTCGCCAAAAAGACTTGCGGGAGGAGGGTGGCCACCAAACCATGTTATTCACATGTTTTTTGTGTGTTCTGTCACGGAGGCAACCAAACACTGCTATTCACAGGTTGTTTGTGTTTCTTGTTTTTTTTTTTGTTTTCAGAGATCCACAAGCATGGCCAGGGGGTGTTGTGGAACGCCAGAAACCAAACAAAAACTTGTGAATTGCAGTGTTTGGGGAGAGCATGACCACGAAACCATGCTATTCACCAGGTTTTTTTGGTGTTCTTCGGTCCGCCAGAAAACCAAAAAAAAATGTGAATAGCAGTGTTTGGTGAGAGCACGGCCACGAAACCATGCTATTCACATGTGTGTTTGTTTTTTTTTCCTGCCCCCCATAAAAAAAAAAAAAAAAAAAAAAAAAAAAAAAAAACCTGTGAATAGCACTGTTTGGTTGCCATGCTCCCCCCAAACACTGCAATTCACAAGTCTTTGTTTGGTTTCTGGCGTTCCACAACACCCCCTGGCCATGCTTGTGGATCTCTGAAAACCAAAAAAAACAAACAAACATGTGAATAGCAGTGTTTGGTTGCCTACCTGGCCCAAAATGTTTTATATAAAAAACTGTGAATAACACGGTGTCGTTGCCATGCTGATGCTATTGCTGTTGTTGCTCCCCTTCCTCATCCTCATCCTCCTCACCCTCACCCCCCTCATCCTCATCATCCCCATCGTCTGCTTCTCCCTCCTCAACCTCATCCCCCTCGTCCTCCTCGTCCTCATCCTCATCCTCTTTTTCGCCCTCCTCATCCTCGTCCTCCTCATCCTCACCCTCCTGCTGCTCCTCCGCCTCTTCCTCCTGCTCCTCTTCCCCCTCCTTCTCCTCCTCCTCCTCCTACCGAACCCGCCAGGATCACAGTATGATTACAATCAGAATGCAGCAATAATTCTTCAACCCATCCCTCTTTCTCAACGCGGCACGCATAGTGAACGCGCACGCTGTGCACGTGGTGTGCGCGCGGAGCCCACGCGTGCTAGTAGTAGTAGTGGTAGTAGTAGTCGTAGTCGTAATCGCAGTAGTGGTAGTAGTGGTAGTAGTAGTAGTAGTAGTAGTAGTAGTAGTTGTTGTTGTTGCAGTAGTAGTCGTAGTTTTAGTAGTAGTAGTAGTAGTAGTAGTAGTAGTAGTAGTAGTAGTAGTGGCAGTAGTAGTAGTAATAATAGCAGTAGTAGTAGTAGTAGTAGTAGTAGGTGGAAGACGGAAGATATGCCGCTTTTTCCTCAGGAAGAAGACACAGCGGTCACCCGCGGCTCCTGCGTCGCGGCGGGTTTGCCGCTGCCTGCTGTTCCTTATTGTCGGCGGGTTGTTCTTGTTGTTCTGCATTGGTTTCTGTTGCGCTTCGCGATTTCCGTCTCCAGGAGGGCATTCTAAAAATGAGATACCCTTTTATGCAACAGAAGACGCAATTGTTTCTCACTCATTCTGCGTCGCGGCGGGTTTGCCGCTGCCTGTCGTTCATTACCATCAAGGCGTTGTTCTTGTTGTTCTGCATTTCTTTTCTGTTGCGTTTTGTGATTTCCGCCTCGGAGAGGGCACCCTAAAATCGGGATGCCCCTTTTCACAGCAGAAGACGCAGTTGCTGCTCACTGCTTCTGCGTCGCGGCGGGCTTGCAGCTGCATGTTGTTCGCGGCTGTTGACGCGTTGGCCCTGTCGTTATGCATTGCGTTTCTCTTGCTCTCTGCGGCGCCCGCCGCCGCGAGGGCATCCTTAATTTTGGATGGCCTGTTGCGCCACAGAAGACGCACTTGTTTCTTACTGGGTCTGCGTCGCGGCGAGTTTGCCGCCGTCTGTCGCTCATTATCATCGATGCGGTGTTCTTGTGGTTGTGCCGTGTTTTCTGTTGCGCGCTGCGATTTCCGTTCCCAGGGGGGCATCCTAAATTGTGGATGCCCTTTTGTTTTTTCTGAACCCTCAGAGCAAGGGGGATCTTATCCAAGATCCCCCGACAGAAGGATCTCGCCTAGATGCCGCCACCTGGTGGTCGAAGTTCGAACGTCATTTTCAGGGGCGGGGGGGGCGGCGGGCCCGCCGCGCGGCAGCGTGTGGGCGCGTCGTTAGCAGCCCCGTGCAGGGGTGCGTTGTCATTGGGTCGGTCCGCTTGCCCCTCTGTCGATTGGTTCTCTGAACGCCCGAACTAAGGGGAATGTTATCCAAGACACACGCAGAAGGATCTTGTTCAAGATACCGCCACCTGGTGGCTTGGGGTCTGTCTCAGTCGTGCACTTGAGCACAAGCGGCAGAACCTTGCGATTGGGACCGAGCAGCCGCGAGCTTATGGGCGTCAAGAAGCACGTCGTCAGTAGGTTGCTCCGTTTCCCCCTCCGTCGAGTTGTTTTTTCGGAACCTCCAAAGCAAGGGGGATCTTATCCAAGATCCCCCGACAGCAAGGTCTTGTTCACGATGCCGCCACCTGGCGGTCGAAGTTCGAACGCCATTCCCTGGGGCGCGGCGGGCGGCGGGCACGCCATGCGGCAGCATGTTGGTATTTTTCGTTCGCAGCCCCGTGCAAAGGTCGCGCAGGCGCCTCACTGGCTGCCCATGCAGCCGTCCCTAAGGGACCGGTTGCGCCTCGAACCCCACTTCGCGGGGTGCAAAGTGAGCCAGGCCCAGCGCTTCTTCTCCTGGAACGTTGCCCAGTAGTTGAAGCGAGCCTGCTTTGAGCGGAGGTCGGCGAGGGCGGCCTTGGCCTTGCCGAGCTCTTCCTGCAGTTCCTCGTTGCTCTGCTCCAGCTTCTCGTTGGCCCGCGCCAGCTGCCGCAGCTTCTTGAGTTCGTCGGCCTGCTCCTGCTTCTCGCGGGTCGCAGCGTCGAGCTCCCTCGTGAGCTTCCTGTTCTTCTCGCAGAGAGCGTCGAACCGAGAGGTGGAACGAAGGGTCGCAGTGGCCAGTGTATCGCGCAGACGCCTGTGCGAAGCAGACTTGAACTCCGTCACCGCCTCCTTCAAGGCTTTCGCCACCCACGGTTTGCCCGAGAAGTTTTTCACGGCCCTGACGCGTGCCCTGCCCATGTTGGCGATGCGCTTCCTCTCGAGCGCTGCCTTCGTCGAGGCTGGCATGGTAGCAAGAATGAACAACTTGAACCAAAAAGGGCTACGGAAACGATAGGATGCGAGAGCGAGCGCTAGCAGTGCAGAGTGCAACGGATTGCCAACTGCGATCCCACCCGCCCCCTGGGCGGAGGTGGCTCAGCGAGCCTGGTCCGTCCACCCCCCTTCTTCCCCCTAACCCCTTCCCCCTGCGTCTGGAGAAGAGGCCCCGCGACGGGTTGGAGCGCGCAAGATGGCTCCAGATGGCCCCGAGAGGGCCGCAAAAGGTCCAAGATGGTCTCCAAGATCGATCAAGATAGCCCAAGGCGGTTCAATATAGCTTCGAACGAGCCTCGAAGAGGCGCCAGGACCGCCCCAAGACGGCTCCAAGTGGCCACTGAGCCTCTCCATGAGGATTCGGAAATGCCCAAGAGGCCTCCGCAAGAGGCATGTGGACGACAACCCTGTATCGCCCCA